GCAGAGCCAAGCCGCTGCCTACCGCTGCCAACCTGAAGTTGTGTGATTTGTTTTATTTTGTCTTTTTAATGTTCTTCAGGTTTAAATGTGTAATAATGGTGGTTTATTAACTGTTTCGTATCTGTGAAAGTGCACAAATGTGGGAAAATAAAACAAAACCGCTGAACATAACTTCTCGGAACCCGGCTCGGTCGCGTATTGATTTAATGTGGGGACCGAATATCATCCCTCTGTCGAGGGTGACGCCTAGGTACTTGGTCTTCGAAGCCCACGGCATGAACTGACCAAAGATTTTGATGGTGGGAATGGAGCTACCGCGCCTAATTCGTGACGAGATACTAGCAGCAGTGTCAGGAAGGATACCCCTTTTAAGGAGTACTTCAAGCTTTTCGCGGGGTTGATATCGATGCGCCACTTCTGGAAAAGAGTTAGCTGGGTCGCCAGTGACCGGGGNATGACAGATATGAGTAGAAGGGTTATTTTGATAATATCCTGAAAAGCACCCCACGCTTTTTTACAATAGAATATTTTTTTCTTACACTATTTTTAATTCAAATTTATTAAAATAAATTTTCTATTTTTTAGTTGGATTTTTAAACTGTTATTTATTTTTAATTTTTTAGTTTAATTTCAATTTTTTCAATATATTTTTTTAATATTGAATTGTCATCGGTCCTTAATAAGTATACCAAATTTCGAGTTAATCCGATGTTTCGAAGGGGGTCAAAATAATTTTCAAAGATTCCGTTCTATACTAATATACTAACATACATACGTCTGAAGCTAATAAAAGCGTATTAACAAAATGGAATGTCCCGTTCTCGTCAGCTGTTTGTGGTGTACGCAGCGCTGTCAGTAGCACTGGCGCGGTCACAAGCACTCGAGTGTCGGCGAGACACTCCCGTGGCAACTCCGCCACCGATTAATGTTCGAGGTTTTGTTAAATTTATACTAAATCTCCCGTGGAACATGCTAGATGTCGAGAATTATTGAGCAGGTAAACTTTAATAGGTAAACTCATATTAAATCACCATAACCTTCATTTTGGAAATAAAATACATTATGATATTAAAACCGGACATTTTGGCGGGAACGCGAGGAGTGATGTTTTTTTTTATTTATTTTTTATTGGCCTTGTAGGCAGACGACCATACGGCCCACCTGATGATGGTTACCGTCGCCCATGGACTTCAGCAATGCCAGGGGCAGAGCCAAGCCGCTGCCTACCGCTGCCAACCTGAAGTTGTGTGATTTGTTTTATTTTGTCTTTTTAATGTTCTTCAGGTTTAAATGTGTAATAATGGTGGTTTATTAACTGTTTCGTATCTGTGAAAGTGCACAAATGTGGGAAAATAAAACAAAACCGCTGAACATAACTTCTCGGAACCCGGCTCGGTCGCGTATTGATTTAATGTGGGGACCGAATATCATCCCTCTGTCGAGGGTGACGCCTAGGTACTTGGTCTTCGAAGCCCACGGCATGAACTGACCAAAGATTTTGATGGTGGGAATGGAGCTACCGCGCCTAATTCGTGACGAGATACTAGCAGCAGTGTCAGGAAGGATACCCCTTTTAAGGAGTACTTCAAGCTTTTCGCGGGGTTGATATCGATGCGCCACTTCTGGAAAAGAGTTAGCTGGGTCGCCAGTGACCGGGGTATGTCGTTAATATATAGGAAGTAAAGTAGCGGAAAAAAGAGCGGAGCTTTGAGAGACTGCGGCCAAAAAAATAGGGCCGCATAACAATTTGGCCTTATTTTTAACCAAGAATAATTTTACGGTACCTTGCGTAAAATATAATTCAAGGGTTGACAGGAGAACAGTTTGTTCGTTTTGTTAAAGAACTCATTATTCCGAAGCTATTTACTTGGGAACAATATTGTTGTTTTTTTTTTTTTGAGAATCGACTATTCTAATTGAACACTACACACACTACAGTTTTCGGCATCATGTACTCTTTGTGGCACACCCTGTATAAAATGACTAAAACTTAAACTAGGAAGATGTTCCAATCACCCTCTAACGCGAAGGCTACTTATAAAATATTATAAAATATAATTTATAATATTATATATTAAATATAATATATTAAATATAATTTATAATATTATATATTAATATATATTAATATATAATATTATAAAAGTATATATGTGTAGTTTGAAGGCGGATTCTATAGTGGTTACATTAATCTGTCCAGCCATTCATAAAGGTAGGTATATCATAGATAATACACATAAATCTATACTAATATTATAAAGAGGAAAGATTTGTTTGTTTGTTTGTTTCGAATAGGCTCCGAAACTACTGGACCGATTTGAAAAATTCTTTTTCCATTAGAAGCCGACATTGTCCCTGATGACCATAGGGAGAGAGAGAGAGAGAGAGAGAGAGTATTCTTTATTGTACACCAAAAAAACAAATGAACAGTGCGATACATTAAAAACAAAAGTACAATTGGCGGTCTTATCGCTAAAAGCGATCTCTTCCAGACAACCATCAGGTGGACAAGAATCATTTGGAAACGAACTACGCGCGGTGTACCATTCCAGTGAAATACATATACATATATGTACACATACATATACACATACATATCTCTGTAAATATACATAAAATTAATACAAAGTATTATAATATAATAATAATTATTAGAAATAAAAAATAAATAAATTAAGTTTAAATTTTGCTTCTTTACACATAAATAAGAATAAGCAATTTACATATAAAAGATNATAGAAAATATATACATACAATAAACAAAATATATACCGTTTACATATAATATGAAATATATACTTATTATTATATACCAATATACATACTTACATACAATACATACTAATATACTTACATACACATAATACATCAACAGTATGGAAATAATAAATGATGATGCAAACAAACAGCACTAAGAAGATAAGTAGTGTTCCTTCACCATTCTTTTAAAACAGTTTAAAGTTTGAGCACTTCTCACTGCATCCGGCAGAGCATTCCACAATCGAACCGCCTGGACGGTGAATGAATGATCAAAGAATGATGATGAATGCGCCGGCATTTTCAGTCTCAGGCTATCCGATGATCTCAGGGAAAAATTATGCGTATCACGTAGGAACTCGAAACGTTCTTTGAGATATATGGGGGCATGGGGGTTAAAGAGAGTACAGTATAGTAATGAAAGGACATGAGTATTGCGGCGAAGGCGAATTGGTAACCACTTGAGTTTAGTGCGAAATTCAGATACATGATCATATTTCCGTAAACCAAATATGAATCTTATGCAGAAAACCGAGGTAAATATGGAGATCATATTTTTTTAAACTGTATAGTTTTTGTTTTAATTTTGAGATTTTATTTGTTTTACGTTAGGTGAATTTTAAAACGTGAAAGAAAACGACATCTTCAAACAAAACTTTTTATTTGATGTTGAAATCGCATTACAAATGCACGCACACTAACCGCCCTTGTTACAAAACGTTTTTATTTGCAACAACACAATCTAGACATTTTTACTCTCTTTATAGTAGATTGAAAATTATATCGATGAAAAGTGTAGCAAAAGATTTTCATTATAGTTAAAACAATAGACTAGAGATGAGCGATGATTAACAATCAATCAAGAAATAAAATTTGATTATAAAATAAATAAAGTTTTGGCGCCTAAAATTCGTTCATAGATAATGTAGATTGTAGACAAAGGAGCGCGGCGGCTAGTTGCGCCATACAACATTCTTACAAATTACTAAATTCGAATATTTTTAATTTATGTTTTTACAAATCTTTTAATATTAATATTGCACTTCATTACAGCTGAGGAAATAATTACAATTACCAGTATTTGGCGTTTCTTACAATAAATGTATTATTTATCGGGCTGTTTGTATAAATCAGACGTCACTATACCGGTTATTGGTAGAAAAAATAAAACTAATGAATGTAATAATTTTGATTCTTCTTTTCGTAATCAAAGCGTTAGATTGGAAACGGTGAAATGAAAGTAAAAAGCGTTTGAATCAGTCTATGGCACGCGTCAATCAATGACGATAGTATTCTGATTTTGTCATTTAGTTACCTACCATCTTTTTTTCAACACGGAATATCGGAAAACGTGCGATGACCACTCATCCTGTGTGAATACAGAATTATGACTCACTACCACATCGACAATGTACTCGGGTCACGCAAACAAAATCATGAGGCCGTGAGTGCTGATAAACACCAATAATACATTTATTATAATTATACATTACTAGTGCAATTGTCTCTTACAAGTAATGTGTATTTTATAACGAAACATTAATACCATAAGATTAAAAAAGGAACTCAACGACTTGACACATCCCGTCGAAAGTTTAATCATTTGAAAATCGATATTTGCACATTTGACAAATAAATATCCAGTTTATTAAACTATCAAAAAGTCATAGGTCTATTGAAGCTAGTTCTAAATAGGGAGGATATGGTGGTAGGGTAATATTTAAAACAATTTAGAGACAANACGAAACATTAATACCATAAGATTAAAAAAGGAACTCAACGACTTGACACATCCCGTCGAAAGTTTAATCATTTGAAAATCGATATTTGCACATTTGACAAATAAATATCCAGTTTATTAAACTATCAAAAAGTCATAGGTCTATTGAAGCTAGTTCTAAATAGGGAGGATATGGTGGTAGGGTAATATTTAAAACAATTTAGAGACAAAAAGAAATTGTATCTGTGATGTTTGATAGCTTCTACCCTATCATTCCCACGGTTTTTCTTTGTTTTAAAATCATAAAATGAATTTTATGATATGACTATAATTTGTGATTGACATTTCGTGAAATGGGAATTGACATTTAAATAACTAACAAAAGTGACGGATGACTTAAAAAGTCTGACCAGGGGACTAGTGATTTTACAGCCACATTATAAGTTGTTTTAATATAATTTAATGATTATAATATATTATTTTATGGTATTAATACAAATTTATATGATTTATTTTGTGTTAAAACTAAATAAAAGTATAAGTAAAATTACAATTATTTTAACAATTATTTGACATACTTTTTGTAATTACTTACTTCAATATTTAATGACAGTCGGTATTCTAATATAAACTTATGGCACTACGTTTTATTTACAAAACGGAATAAAACTAAAACAAAAATAAACCTTTGAATTTTTTTAAAAACTAAATATCTTTGGTAGAAATCCCTAAACCTTTTGCTTAAAAGTACAGAAATTTTTTTTAGCTTAATTTTTTATTTAATATTTTCTAATGCTCCTTTATATTTATGCCTGAAGATCGTATGGAAATCATACATTATGCTATAGTAATAAAATTGATTTTTAAATTAATTTGACTTAAGTTTTTTTTTCCGAATTGTGTCACATGCCTTAAGCATGCATACTTACCTAATGATAATAATAAAGTCAAAACAGGGCTAACAGATTGCGAACTGTGAGCTCCCGGTAATGCATTATTTGTTATGAACATCAACAATAGAAATAAAAACATTGAACAATAGTAGGTACATTGACAGTTACAGACGGCCTGTCAATTTTCGTATCAGAAGCACCCGTAGTATCGTTGTGTAGGAACCCATGGAAGCCGACCATCAGTCGAAGAAGAATCAGCAGAAATAGCTTTTAATTTTAGTTTACAAATTAAACGTATTGCATCTCACAAGGTTTGTTGATTGCGAATATCATTGATATCATTTGACAGTTGACATTAGTGAATTAATGTCATTACAACGCGGACCTGGCTACCTGCGCTTGGCATATGCAAATGGCTAATGATTTTGTGTGAGCAAGCCTCTGCTGGATTGCTTGGTGTGAAGATATATCCTAAATTAAAACATACAGCTTTATGGAGCTTCGGAGGCGAGGTGGTGGAATGATTATCAGTCATTGCTCGAGCACAGGGGCCATGTGTGAAAACTTTGAAAATTGCAGTTTGCAAAACTTGGGTAGTCAAATACGGATTGAGTGGCGCCGGATATGGAGATGCTTTAATTTTTGTTTGTTTATTTGCTTTAATTTTTTAATGTTAATTGCTTCTAGGCAGATTACCTTTCCGCTGTGTGGTGCTTTTGTAGAGCTTGAACAATTTTTGCTAAACGCTAGTGATCGTGATCAACCAAACATACTTTACACTATTAAGATTTTTTTAATTACTCTTGACGTTTCAAAGTTTTGTTTGTTACAAGGTTCATCTCCTGACTCTTTTAGGACATTTGACGGTGACATCCTTGCTGGTGCGTCATTTCTTGGTGCCGACGCCGCCGGCACTCTGGGCCGCTGACAGAGTCGCCAGCGCCAGGCGGTCGGCGCCGGTCGCCAGCGGGCGCTCCGCCGTCAGCAGGCGCTCGGCCGTGCCCAGCGTGCTCAGGGACAGGCGGCTGTCGGGCTGGGCGGCGGCCGCTATCGGGGTGGTCGATCGCGGCTTGAGGCTGGGTTGGGTGGTCGGGGGAGAGGTTCGAATCAGAGCCGTTGGCTTCTGGTCACGACCGCTGCACACCTGCGAATGGAAAGTTGATATGGCATGACAGAAATTACTACTGACTTTTAAATTGGGATGATTCCAATATTTAACCAGCATTTGGTTTGGGAAAAGGATAAATGGAAGATTTTCCACCGAGTGGCTACCATTGTAAAGAATCATAAGCAAGTTTATCTTGGCCGCTGACTGACGAAATGGTAACGGGTTCGTGCTGATATGTCTAGGGGCTAACTTTGTTCTTTGCTGATAAAAAAGATGGGCTATTAAGCTGCTAGACCAAGAAAGCTTTAATTGTACCTAAGTAGGACAGTTATAACGAAACCGGTACTGCGACATTCCCCAACCAGGATGTGACAGACACACCCGCGTCACGTTACCTGGTGATGGTTCTCCCAGTCCTTGTGCTGACAGAAGGAGCCGCAGTACCGCGCCGAGTTACATCCAGAGCACGTCTCTTGAGCCTTCCGGCCGCAGTTCCAGCAGCACTGGAACGAATTGACAATTTGAAAAGAGGACGTTAAAGGGTCTTAGGATGGTTGAAGTTTGCTTCAATAACTTTGCTAGGAGCTTACAGAATAGTGATTTTGGCTATTTTTGATTGAAAAGGGTGAGTGTAGACGACTGGATGAAGAGACAGGTGGCTCTAGTTTTATTGCTAAGAGTTTGCACGATCAATTGACGGCCTCGATACGTGAGCCATTCTTGTTGACGGAATTTCTCCATGTTACAACAATTAACGTAGCCATACTTAGATTACCTAAATAGATTAAATCCTTTATTGCAGGTACTTCTCAGTACCTGAAACCTCAGAGAAAGACGGTAGCATTGTTGAATTTATAATCAACAATCTGTTAAGTTCAAATTATATGTACATTAATCGACAATCGACGTTGCATCTTTTTTCTTACACCAAGTAAGGCCTGGAGGGGAGTTTGTTCCAGAGCAGGATGGTACGTGGCACAAAGGTCTCTGGTAACGCACTGGAAAATAGCTATGTTCCGGTGGCTCCTGCCACGGACCATATCAGCGTAACCTTAACTAGTAGGTGAGCTCACGGGGCTGAAGCCTGACGATGTTGCTAACAGGAACCCTAGTAAGAGCCGTGCTTCGCAAAATTTATCACTAGATCCGACACACGACCCATTGAGAAGATCCGGCGAGAAACTCTTTGGGCTGTCTCTGTGGGTTAATTTACTCGCCGAGCCTTTCGTCGCAAGCAACGGGTTCGACGAGGACGATGACCGCGAAAGAGATAAAGAGATCATTTCGAACAATTTCTCGGAGTACTCCCCTTGGAACATACGATAAAGAACATAGGAGAGAACCGAAGTCCCTCCGCAGAGCCAGGGGTTCTAAACGACGCGTGAGAACGGGATCATCGACAGTCCAAATAATCTCCAATCCTGTTTGGCAGCATGCATGTCTGTACGAGCAGAACCTACACTGTATGTCATGGGAATTGTGCTGCCGGTAGTGTACTGATATCCTCACCGTATGGTGTGGCGCTGGAGTGGGGCTGAGCGGTGGCGCGGGGTGCGCGGGGTGGGCAGGCGGGGCGGCGGGCGCGGCGGGGGGGTTGGGCGGCGCCACCAGCTCGAGCGCCTTGCTCTCCGCCGCACCCACGGCTCTCTGCAGCTCTATCAGAGCCTGTCTTTTTACCTGGACAGTGTGCAATAGACAGGTTAGGGCTTGAGGCCCAGAGCTCCTCATCATGTGACCTTCCATTTTTTACTGGTGTTAGGACGTCTTGTGAGTCCGCACGGGTAGGTACCACCACCCTGCCTATTTCTGCCGTGAAGCAGTAATGCGTTTCGGTTTGAAGGGTGGGGCAGTTGTTGTAACTATACTTGAGACCTCAGAACTTACATCTCAAGGTGGGTGGCGCATTTACGTTGTAGATGTCTATGGGCTCCGGTAATCTCTTAGCACCAGTTGGGCTGAGATCGTCCACCCATCTAAGCAATAAAAAAATAATCAGATTTGTAACATTATCACACCTACGTACAGCTGTCGGCTAGTTTTTAGTTTTCGAGTGAGATATCTACATACTCGTACTAAAAGTTGTAATAACGATGGTTTGATCACGTACCTGATTGACAGCATCTTCAGCCCGTCTCCGAACCTCTGCCACTCGCTCTTCAGTCTGCCGGACGGCCGCTGCCATGATCTCGTTTGCAGTTCTCTTGATATCATTATTTTCTGGCGGCTCCACTCCTGAAAGGTATTGCGGAATCAAGGTTCGCTGCCACCTAGTCAACTCGCATAGCGGTCTTTTTTTTATTGTCTTTGCAGGCTGACGAGCATACGGCCTACCTGATGGAAAGTGGTCACCGTTGCTCATGGACGTCAGCAATACCAGAGGCAGGGCCAAGCCGCTGCCTACCATTAAGTACTCCCCGCAAGCCTCATTTGAAGAAGGACATGTCATACCGCTCGGAAAACATCGTGGAGGGGAGCTCATTCCAAAGCCGGATGGTACGTGCCAAAAAAGATCTTTGGAAACGCACTGTCGATGAACGCAGTGGTTCCAGATAATATGGATGAACTCTGCTCCGATGGCGGGAAGTGCGATGACAAAAAGGAGATGAAGGGATCATCTCGAATAATTCCTCAGACCATTCCCCATGGACCATACGGTATAAAACACAGAGAGAACCGAAGTCCCTCCGTGGACCCAGAGGTTCCAAGCGATCCGCGAGAGCGGGACTATCGACCATCCGAACAGCCCGTTTCAGTATGGAGTCAAATGGAAGTAGGTCTTGTTGTAGGTCTTACAGGTCTACCTCAGACAGACCAACAGTAGGTAGGACAAAGGTCTTGTTGTTCATTTAAGAGTTAGTCTTCCTGAGTAGGTTTCATAGTCGGAACCATGAAAAAATTATACGGTTCGAAATTCTTGATACAAGATTTTTACATCCAAATCGAATGTTTGCATTGTAGATTCATTCGCGGAGTAGCTGCTTTTAAGTTGTTAGGGCTCCTTTGTAGGCGCTCGGGCAGCTGTTAGCAAATCCCACCCCTCCTGGCTGAGCCTTTGCTCGCCCACCTGTCCTGGTGAAACTGAAAAGGCCTCAGGGCCACCAGTAATCATTCAATCATAAAAAAATACTGTGTATCGCGGCAAAACTTACCTCTTTGCTGTAATATAGCCAAAGCCCGTTTGGTCTTCTCTACCATGCTGAGGATGCAGTTAAGCATGGTGTTGATGTTCCTCCACTCATCATCGGTCTTGAGCAAGCCGACTGACGAGGAACTGGATCCTCGCGGCTCGAACGGCGCGTTCATTGAGGAGACATCTCGAACCGAAATACCACCTGATAGAATATAAATAATAGTTTAATAAAACTCAGAATACGCTTTTATAGAAAATCCAACTAAAAATTAGAAAATAAATTTTAATTAAAAATAGTGCTTTTCAGGATTACTCATATCTGTTCATAAAAATGTACTATTTAATTTTTTATTTATGTTTTAGTTGAATTTCAAATTTTTCAAATTTTTCTATTTTTATTATTTTTTAAATATTGAATTGTCATCGATTCTTAATAAGTATATCAAATTTCGAGTGAATTCGACGTTTTGAAGGGGGTCAAAATCATGTTCAAAGATTCCGTTACATACTAACATACATACGTCTGAAGCTAATAAAAGCGTATTAAAAAATAGAACTCAAATGTCAAAATCCACAGGAATATCCTAAAGAAAGAAACTCAACCGATCATCATGAAAATGCATAAGCGTAATTAAGGTTACAGAAAAATACATAGAGCATCAGTTTGGTTCAGAAAAAGTACTATTCCGTGAGGGCTTTTTTCTGTATTCACAAGAGCGAAGTCGCGGGTAAAAGCTAGTCGGTACTACTTTATTTATTTATTTATTGTTTAGATGGGTGGAAGAGCTCACAGCCCACCCGGTGTAAAGTGGTTACTGGAGCCCATAGACATCTACCACGTAAATGCGCCACCCACCTTGAGATATAAGTTCTAAGGTCTCAGTATAGTTACAACAGCTGCCCCACCCTTCAGACCAAAATGCATTACTACTTCACAGTAGAAATAGGCGGGGTGGTTGTACCTACCCTTGCGGACTCATAAGAGGTCCTACCATCAGTAATTACGCAAATTATATTTTTTCGGGTTTGATTTTTATCACACGATGTTATTCCTTCACCGTGGAAGTCAATCATGAATATTTATCAAGCACGTATTGCATCGCTAGATACGAATGCACCGGACGTCTTATCCTTTAAGCCACGACGACTTCAAACTTATATTAATGTTCTCTTGCAAACAGGTATTAGTGTAACTTGTCTCCAGAGATGTATTCTTGAAATTTTAGCACCCTTTAAGTTGCAAATCCTCGCGTTGAATTCCGTTTAAACTTACCATCTCTTCTTTCAAATCCAGGATCACTGTGTCCGGCATGAAACCCTTGGTAGTGGCCGTATTCGAACAAGCTCGCGTTGCTGGGCAGAGGGTATAAAAAGGGGGAGGTCGTGAACAAGCTGGAGGGGGGAGGTCTTTTTGCATGAGGAGGGAAGTCTTCTGGATGTGCGCCGTTTGTTTGCGAAGTCTCGTAGAACCTGTCAACAATGGCGATCAAAAGTCTTCCATTAGTTAAGGTTCATCTTGTCTACTAAGGAGGGCTCATGCGTCATTAAAAGTTTCACAGGAACCTGCCTATACACCAAAACATGGGTGGTGTCAATCTGGATTCAAGAAGCCATCATCTCAAATCTAACATCATCAATCATCCCCGAATACATGTTTTACGATCGAAAGGGACAAATACAATTAATAGTCTATATCTATACTTTTATACTAATATATAAATCTACAGTGGTTTTTACGGATGTTCCGTTATAACTACTGAACCATGCATCCGATTATCTTGAAACATGACAATAAATAATAATATTAATTTTAAATGCCCAGCGAAGCGGGCGAGTACGGCTAGTTTAATATAAAATAACAATTGTTGAATAGTTCTTATTTACAAGAATTTGTCTTTTAAACGCTTCTAGGTGACTGGTGATTCAGTCGGTGCAGTGCAGAGCTCTTAGATATAATAGTGTGAGTACCGTCGCCCACCGTGAGATATGAGGTTGATCCTATCCTCCAAGTCAAAACTCATTACTGTTTGGGAGTAAAAATAGTCTGGATTGTGATATCAAGTTTTGCAGGCTCATAATATGCCGCGTAACACCAGTAAATGCAGGTCGCAGTATTATCAGGAAACGCTGCTATTCATTCCCTCACTCTACTGAGTCCCGTTACTACAACCACGGCAAGAGATGGGGTACTTCTATACTAGGCAACACAAGCCAAACTTAACGCTGTTTAACCTGGCCATCTTATTAATTACTTTTAAAAACCAATAACCCAATACCTAGATGCTTTCAATGAGCATTCAAACTGAATTCTCAACTTATTATTAATTACGAGCGGCAAAAAGTTGAATACAAAGCACAAAACGTCGGGGGAGCTTCTGAATAAAGCCATCGGCACTATTGGTACGTAAAGACAATACGACTTTCAGGATTTGCGTGGCTCGAGCTCAATAAATTTATCGTGGGATGGTCCGATTCACGAGCTGCCGGCGTTTTGATTTGTTTTTAACACTTCAAATGCGAAGCGAGGTTCGATATCCTCCTGGTGGTGGGTTAACAAAAATCTAGTCTTGCATGTCTCGGAAACGCTAAACTCCAATTTGGTTTAGTGTAGAAGAGACATGAATATATACTGGCGGTAGGACGTCTTGTGAGTCCGCGCGGGTAGATACCACTACCCTGCCTATTTCTCCTATTTCTGCCGTGAAGTAGTAATGCGTTTCAGTTTGAAGGGTGAGGAGCCGTTGTAACTATGCTAAGACCTTAGAACTTATATCTCAAGGTGGGTGCTGTATTTACGTTATAGATGTCTATAGGCCCCAGTAACCACTCAACACCAGGTGGGCTGTGAGCTCGTCCACCCATCTAAGCAATAAAAAATAAATAAAAAAGGGCCGTGTGCTCGTCTGCCTACACGGGCAATTAAAAATAAATTTGAGCTCCCAATATCCCCTATCATTAGTAAAGCGATGCAATTCACAAAGAGCTTGTAACTTGCACCGCAGAGCAACGCTCGCTTATGGGAGGAGGCATAGGGCTGTGCATGCAACCGGCGCGATAAATAACGGACAACATCCCGCTGTCGATACAACACTCCTGACTCCTGATCAGCCCCAAACAAGATGGTCGCGACATTGCTCCCGCCATACAAACCGGTAGTTTATAGAACAGATATTGAACAACAACTCTATGTTCTAAATAAATAAATAATAGTTTAAAAAACTTACAAAATACGCTTTTATAGAAAATCCAATTAAATAATATAAAATAAATTTTAATAAATTTCAATTCAAAATAACGTAAGAAAAAATGATTTTATTGTAAAAAAGGGTGGGGGATATTATCAAAATAACCTTTCTAGTCATATCTGTTCATAATAATAATATATTTATAACTACTGATACCATGCACCCCACGCTTTTGTTTACAATAAAATCAGTTTTTCTTAAAAAAAAATTTCAAATTTAGGAAAACCATTTTCAATTTTTTTTTAAATATTGAATTGTCATCGGTCCTTAATAAGTATACCAAATTTCGAGTTAATCCGACGTTTTGAAGGGGGTCAAAATCATGTTCAAAGATTCCGTTACAAAGATACATATACGTCTGAAGCTAATAAAAGCGTAATAAAAAAGAGTACATTTTTTCTCTTCAATGTGAACTCGAAATATGTAATAAGCGAATGTTATCCCTTGTGGCTGATCATTGTGTGCTGGTACAACGAAATTAGACGATTCCGTCGTTGTACTTTTATTTTTCTCTACTCAAATCTTCGCTCTAATAAAATAATTAAAAATTATCAATTTTTTTACGTTTTGCTCATTCGATCGTCTTCACCATCTTTCTTTTTTCTCTGTCAATCTATCTGTCATCCTCATTTCCGTTTCTTAACATTTTCTCTCTTTCCATACGTTCCGTTCTTACCAATCCTACAGTAATGTCATTATAATTTTAAATTTCTTTATCCCTACCTATTCGCTGGTAGACTAAGAGGCTATTTCAGCTATACGCGGATGGGTAGGTGAGCTCACGGGGCTCAAGCAGAGAGGATTTCCTAACACTGGCCATAGTAAGAACAGCGCTTCGCTGAATCTACCACCGGATCGGAATCGCGACCCACTGAAGAGATCCGTCGAGAAACTTAGTAATAAGCTTTATATATGGTTCAGGATTCAAGTTTCGTAAACAGGCACTTTAAAGTAAAGGCAGCTCTGTTGTTCTGATGTAGCATGGGCGTCACTTACATACCCGATCCTGCGGACCGAATGGTAAACAGTCGACGTCGCCCAAAACACGTCATTACGGATCCTCCCGATCCATTAACGGTGCTTTTAGGTATCTCAAGCACCAGTCATCGTTGTCGTCGAACCCGTCGCTTGCGACGAAGGGCTCGGCGAGTAAATTAACCCACAGACACAGCCCACTGAGTTTCTCGCCGGATCTTCTCAGTGGGTCGCGTTTCCGATTCGGTGGTAGATTCTGCGAAGCACTGCTCTTGCTAGGGGTCGTGTTAGCAACATCGCCAGGTTTGAGCCCCGCGAGCTCATCTACTCGCTCGGTGACGCTGATGTGGTATCTTAAGACCATTAGCTTTGGTAGGAAAAAAAGGCTTCGCTTCGGCACCACGGACCTCCTTCTTCATGTCATTTTCATTACACTGTCCTATGTTATCCAGCTCATACCATTTTTCCCTTACCTATTCATTGGTAGTTTAAGAGGCAATTCCACATACGCTGTGACGGGTAGGTGAGCTTACGTGCTCAGCCTGAAACAGTTTGCTAACACTAGCCCTAGCTAATCGGAACAGCGACACACTGAGAAGATCCGGTGAGAAACTCAGTGGGCTGCGTTCCCTTACACCCCTTTTAAAATACACTCTCACTCGCATTACAAACGTTTCTCGACAACGAAAGGACTTTAGAAACCAAACAAAACCTCCGATATTCCCAAGAAGTAGGTAGGTACATGAAATGCAAACTCCTGATTGTTAAATTGGAGCAATTAGCTGTCAAACTTCTGTCGGCTAATGGTTACAAGTGCGGCGTGCGTCGCGCGTTATTAATCTAACTTATTAATTAACACTTCTTACTTTACATACAAATACACAATTACTTTTCGTATAAAAATCAAGATCAAAAGAAAAGTTTAGTTCACGATTGACTTCCACGGTGAAGGAATAACTTCGTGCAATAAAAATGAAACCCGCAAAATTATAATTTGCGTAATTACTGCTGGTAGGACCTCTTGTGAGTCCGCGCGGATAGGTACCATCACCCTGCCTATTTCTGCCGTGAAGCAGTAATGCGTTTCGGTTTGAAGGGTGGGGCAGCCGTTGTAACTATACTGAGACCCTTAGAACTTACATCTCAAGGTAGGTGGCGCATTAACGTTGTAGATGTCTATGGGCTCCAGTAACCACTTAACACCAGGTGGGCTGTGAGCTCATCCACCTATCTAAGCAAAAAAAATAATTGATTGCAGATTTTTTAGACTCGTAAATGGCTTTATGAATCACTATTCTTTGCGCATAGTAAGCTCATGTAGACCACATTTTCCCTTAGTAAACCTCATTAGGCAGCTTTCTGTAAACTAGTGGCCCCGCAGTAGTCGAAATTCGACTATAATTAATTGAAATTATAAGTTTAAAAATTATTATGGTTCTATTGTCATACACTATTATAATTCGATAATATAATCAGTTATCGCCAAAACTGCACTATAGATCAATAATATTAAAAGACAAACAATATTAATCTATTTTTAATTCGACTACAGACTTTAAACAATAACAAAACTTTCCCAATTGACAGTAAACAAAGAGTATATTTTTATGTATGTGTTGTGTCAAATACATGGTAGTATGTAATGTTTTCTTTATTTATTTAAAGTATCTTTTATGCATTATTTAAAAAAAAACATAGCATTGTGCAGTCCTTGTCTATATTCTCTATAAGTGTGAGTTTCATACTCCTCCGTCCGCGCAATTTTCGTAAAAAGGGGAACAAAGTTTTTTCTTCACGTGTATATATATATATAGATATGTAGATATGAATTGCTGTTCGTTATTCTCGCTAAAACTCGAGAACGGCTAGACCTATTTGGCTAATTTTGGTCTTGAATTATTCGTGGAAGTCCAGAGAAGGTTTAAAAGTTTGAAAAAATATGAAAATGCTCGGAATTATATAAAAACAAACAATTTTGTTTTCCCTTTGATGTGACCCCGTCGGGCGGATTCCTTTTGTTTATTTTTAAGTTTATTTTATACAAAAGTTTAGGTCTTTTATTTATCGATTCAGGCACTACGAAGTCTGCCGGGTCAGCTAGTATATAGATAAATTTGGGATGAACGCATTCGCTAAACAGAATCTAGTATGGAATAGCTAGCGGCGTTTACCGCGCCGTCAGTAAGGCCTGTGTTTAGTTGAATTATTATTATAGGGACAATTTGGCAGGGTCGCGCGCTATGGATTTAA